CACGGTGTGATTCCACCAGTTGCATTCTCTTCCTTATTTTCAGTCGCTAGGCTACATGACAGCTCAATCGTGTTCTCAACTTCATTCTTTACTGTGGTAGAGTATAGTGATAGCCCTCTACATTTTGAAAAGGTAATCAGCTTTGCTTGGGTGGGATCTGTCAGAGATTGGTACATTTTAATAGTGCAGTCGGAAAGTATTCAGGCCCCTTGACTTTTTCCACATTTTGTTACGTTACAGCCTTATTCTAAAATGGATGTAATTGTTTTTATTCACCCTCTTCAGTCTACACTCAATACCCCATAATGACAAAGCAAAAAAGATGCGAACAAAAAATACCTGAAATATCACATTTACACAGGTATTCAGACCCTTTACTCAGTACTTTGTTGAAGCACTTCTTGGGTTTGAGGCTACAAGCTTGGCACGCCTGTATTTGGGGAGTTTCTCCCATTCTTCTCTGCAGATCCTCTCAAGTTCTGTCAGGTTGGATGGGGAGTGTCGCTGCACAGCTATTTTCAGTTCTCTCCAGAGATGTTCGATCAGGTTCAAGTCCGGGCTCTGGCTGGGACACTCAAGGACATTCAGAGACTTGTCCCGAAGCCACTCCTGCGTTGTCTTGGCTGTGTGCTTAGGGTCGTTGTCCTGTTGGAAGCTGAACATTCGCCCCAGTCTGAGGTCCTGAGCGCTCTTGAGCAGGTTTTCATCAACGATCTCTCTGTACTTTGCTCCGTTCAACTTTCCCTCGATCCTGACTAGTCTCCCAGTCCCTGCCGCTGAAAAACATCCCCACAGCATGATGCTGCCACCATGTTTCACCGTAGGGATGGTGCCAGGTTTCCTCCAGATGTGACGCTTGGCATTCAGGCCAAAGAGTTCAATCTTGGTTTCATCAGACCAGATAATCTTGTTTCTCATGGTCTGAGAGTCCTTTAGGTGCCTTTTGGCAAACTCCAAGCGGGCTGTCATGTGCCTTTTACTGAGGAGTGGCCACTCTACCATAAAGGCCTGATTGGTGGAGTGCTCCAGAGATGGTTGTCCTTCTGTAAGGTTCTCCCATCTCCACAGAGGAACTCTGTGTTTTTTTCACTGTCATGGAAAGAGTGCATGGTATTTTCAGTAATCAACTTGGGCTAATCTAGATTTCCATCAATGCAGGTTTTCATTGCCTGCCTGGCGCTTGTTATGCGAATGGAGATGACTGAGGCTGCCTCAGAGCTACAATTCTTCTCCACAGTGCCTAATTTGTTTTGACATATATTGTTGGAGTGTCACGTCCATGCATACAGATCTGCCTCAGTTTTTGTCGAGAAAAATCGATGCCAGAGTTAGACCTTAGTTGAGATGAGCTGTGTTTTTTTCCCTAGGGGCTTATGTAACCGGCTCTACTTTGAATATGATCATCCACACCCCCTCAGCTCTAAGCCCTATCTCACTCACAGTGAGGAACTGGAAGCTGTTGCCACGGTAACACACGTTTTAATTGAATATATCCAACGTGTAAAACAACACCAGCTAATTGGATAAATTGTGTCCCTCGCTTCATAGCTAGCTAGCCTTTTTACTACTCTGACAAACGTCTCACTTTTGGCTCATGAGTGAATCATTCTTATTCAGCACGACACGATGAGGGAGAGGGGAGCTGCGACTGCTTTTCCTCTAAAATGCAACGTTGCTTTGTGTCTCGTAATTACTATGTTCAAATTAGCATTGGGATCATCACACAAACCTAATATTCTTGGAAAGTCATGTTCCCAACTGACCCTGGATATACGGACCATGCAAATCATCATGCGTTGACTCCACATGAGGTGCTATTGATTTGAATGATGGCCTGCTTCATAGTGACAGCACATTGTAGTTTCCAACATGTGTTGCCCCACATATTGACCTCTCTGTGTAGTAGAATAAATGGAAACACGTTTGTTGACAGTCCATTATTATCAAAGACTCAAAAGTTCTGTTTTTACACTACAAATTTGCTTTTGTTTCTCTCCACTTAAATAGCCTGTGCATTTATGATGATCATCTCTGTTTTTTCGGTACCATAATTGCGATAAAAAATCCTGACATGCAATGGGTCAATCAATGTTTCTTTCACATGCGTCAAGCACTGACCCTAGGGTGTATCAATAAATCAAAGTTGGGACCGAGAGACTGATAAACAGCTTCTATCGCAAGGCCATCAGACTGTTAAATAGCCATCACTAGCACATTAGAGGCTGCTGCTGCCTATTGAAATCACTGGCCACTTTAAGAAATGGAACACTAGTCACTTTAATAATGTTTACGTATCTTGCATTACTCATCTCATATGTATATACTATATTCTATACTATTCTACTGTATCTTAGTCCATGCCGCTCTGTCATTGCTCATCCATATATGTATATAATAATAATAATATGCCATTTAGCAGACGCTTTTATCCAAAGCGACTTACAGTCATGTGTGCATACATATTTACGTATATATATTCTTAATTACATTCCTTACTTAGGTTTGTGTGTATTGGGTATATGTTGTGAAATTGTTAGATATTACTTGTTAGATATTACTGCACTGTCGGAGCTAGAAGCGCAAGCATTTCGCTACACCCGCAATAACATCTGTTAAACATGTGTATGTGACAAATAAAATGTGATTTGATTTAAATACTTTTTCCAGATGCAGTGCAGCTACAACAGGCATAATATGAGACCCATTTACCAGGCCATTATCACAAACAATGTAATTTAGAAAATTAAGTCAACTACCGTCCTACAATCAGTGTCTAAATATAATCTATATTCAAACCGTTTGATTGTTCAGTTCTCTCAGGCTTGATTCTACCTATCATGTTATTACATATTAAGACCGATATAATAGCATAGAAACGACAGGTTGACCCAGCAGTCTCTTGGACAGCCTGTATCTTAGAATAGTGAATACAATCTACACCAAAGCTCTTATTCCACATCACATTGGTGGGGTTAAAGCTTAATACCTCTCCAGTGGTGTTGCTAAATGATGCGTAACTTATTCCATGATGCCCTGGCACCGACGTCCATTTTTATTTGATATACACCTAGAGCCACTTACTATGGAGATACTTCCCCTTTTAAAACCTATAGTGTATCATAAACAAATGATTATTACAGGGGTAATAAGGTTCTACAATTAAACGTAAAGGGCGATCTGAAAGGAAGTAGATATTTGATATCCCATAGCCACCAATGTATTACTATGTAGGCACTTTGAGCACAAAGTTCTTCAAGTTCTACGAATTGTGTGGATTTCAGCCATCTCAAAGCTTAGATATCTTTGTTGACAGTTTGTCTCCAGAGCTCACTCTCAGAGTGACTAGTTCTGTTGTTGTAGGCGAAAGTCAAAGAACTAGAAGTCCAATCACATTCAGGCATGACCACTGCTAGTCCATTATGGCAGGCCATTTGTTTGTAGCCTATTTGTATGCAGGCTGGTGGATAGTGGAATAGTACAGCGCCCCAGTCCTAATTGTCTCAGTCTACTGAACCTGCACTCAACCACACTCCGGAAAGGGCCAGGGAACTCGAGGGGAGTGTGGTTGTGGGTTATGTTAAAGTAACTTTTCAAATCCAAATGGTTTTAAAAGGAAAGATCAAGTTGAAGCACATCTTGCCATGAGGGTTCTCTTCACCAGTGATTCTCAAAGGGTGGGTCAGAAGTCTGGACCCAGTGCTGGGACTGGTCATTCTTGGGTCAGTTAGCTATAAAGCCTGGGTTGTGGTTATCAACATGGTTATGTCTATTTGGTGTGTCATGAAATTCAAAAGGCTTTATGTGGGTGACAATGCAAAAACAGTTTGTTGTGACCTCAAACTATTGGCTGATTTAATTGCAGTTAACACAAGTCTTGGTTGAACTAACATTAAGAATGTTCTGTCCGGGCCCTATTGTAGCCTAACAGGAGGAAGTGGACCAGGGAGTGCAGTGGAAAAGCTGAAGTACCCACTGAATGAGAGGAAGTGTTGCACAATAGGAAGTGGTGTGTGTCTGGCCGCTGTGCCTCCCAGTTTCTGTAAGACTGCTGCAATGTTGCCCTTCTCAAGAAACACAGTCTGCAAGAGAATCACGAAGGGCTGCACCTGTGACTGACTACTGTCCACAAATTCTCAACCTCTGGTAACATTGCATTCATGTGGCCTGGAGTGTTAAAAGTGTTCAGTAATCTATCGATAATCAAGGTCCTAGAGGTTGGAAATGTTTGTTGTGGCCAAGTGAAACTCTTAACCTCTTACATGATAATTGGACCAGAGAGGTAGACCAAGAGGAATATCGAATGTTGAATATTGTCCAGGTTAAGTTTTGTCGCAAAACTTGTTGTCAAAAAGAAGGAACAAGGGAATGAATTTATACAGACTTTGTTCATATCTGTTTTGGGAGGATGATTTGACTCACTCTGACTTAATTAGCCTTTGTTTTCAGAACCTGACCTCCGCTGGAGGACTGTAACTTTGGCCACACGCCAGGCTCGGCCTCCTTCCTCCTGACTGACACCTCCAGAGCTTCTTCTGCTGGTTAGTATTAACACAAAGTTGCCCCTATACGCTGATCTTGTGTCAGTTTTGCATTTCCCCCGCTAATGGTAGGTTAGGATTGGGGGAGGGGAAGCTAATCCTAGTTCTGTAAATAGGGGAAACTTCACCCCGGAGCTATCAACACCCACTGCTGTCATGTCCTGACTCATCTAACTTGAGGTTTCAACTGTAACACCACAGCATGCTATTCTGCTACAAGGCCATTATTGGATTCTTTATACCTCAAGTGGAAAATTACTTTGTGGAACTTCAGCTCTAGGACAAACATTGTTGTTTGAACTGTGGTCAGTCTTAAGCATAGTTTTTTTCTCTTCATTTTAAGTTCCTCTTGTGATTATTTTGAGCTAGAAGAACGCTTGCGTTTGACTTTTTCCCCATCAGGGTCACAATGTGAATGCGGTTTGTGTAATGCTGGTACGGAAATGAAGTGCATTGTGGGCCATGGAATGGGTCAGAGTAATACGGGTGCCTCCACTTCCTGCTCTGTTCTCCAAGGCCGGTGGCAGTGCTGCTTATGTAACTAGGGTTCGTCACGGGGTCACTGGTGTTTGTCTGGCCTCACGGAAGTGAAGCTGGCAGCCAAGACAAAGTGTTGGAACGTGTTTTCGACTACAAACGAGCTTAGTCCAGTGGCTTAGGTCTTATTGTTTTTCTATCTGATTTAATAGTTAGTTTGGCCGGGTTTCTGTCTGAACATTTGTGATGGAACTGTTTATTTTTGTTATGCTAGTTTAGCCGATGTAAAATGGCTAGCTAGTTAGCTGTGCGCGCTAGTAGCGTTCAATCGGTGACGTGACCTGCTCTGAGACCTTGAATTAGTTGTTTGTGGAGTGACTGATAACAATGCTTTGTGGGTGACAGTTGTAAGTGTGTTCAGAGGGTCCTTAGTTCGAGCTCAGGTTGAGTCAAGGAAGAGGGACGGAAGCAACACTGTTACACTAGGTCCCTGACCCTCACACATTCAGTATTTTGCATTGTTATATCAAAGGTAAGGTGTTCTTCTGTGGAGGCTAATGTGTCTGTTGTGTCCTAGTGTGGCTGTATCCAGATGGAGGCTTTTACGGTGGTTTTCTGTAGCACTTCACCTACACAACAAGCCCTAACTACAACTAAGCCTAGAATCTTCCATTCTGGAACAGTCAGAATTAGAAATGGGTGACAATATCACTACCCTCTGCTATAGTTCCTGCTTGTGGGATTTCTTCCTCCCATGTTTATATTTTCCCTTCAGTCTCCTTGGAGACCGTTACCATGGCGTGGCAGCGGAGCTGTCAATCTTGGACCTAATCATAGGTGTCAGAGCACTTGCTACATTACCTGCCCACCTGTCTCGAACCACAGCTTCCCACATGTCTGTCTGATACAGCTGGAGACAATCCAAGCCATCTAGGACTAAATAAGCCAATGCCATTTCATATGTTCTGTGTGGTATGTTTGGTTAAACATCAGTTTATGAAAGGTTTTACATTAAAACAGTAGCCTATCTCATATATCATGAGTATCATGCCATTTGTTAGTTGTTACAGCGTATTACTGCAATAATGGCTTGGCTAAAGCTACATTGGTGTCCCTGCGAGACTCAAATCCACCGGTTTAGCGGGAACGCTAATCTATTTTACCGAGCTCAGACTTCAGTGTGAGACTCTTTGACCAAGAGACAAAGTGGTGAGTTGTAACTACAGAGTGGAGATGATTGAGTGAATGCGGCACTCCTTTCACTGTGAACACTGAGGTAAGATTAGCTTCTGTATGCCAGGGGAGGTGTGTACTGTAGTAAAGTAGCCTGAGGTAAAGCTTTTCACTGTAGCTCTGGTAAAAAAAATGCGGCAGTACTGCCACCAGCTGGTGATGGAGAAAATATTTATAAACCATAGACTATGGTATGATGGGTATCATACAGTGCCTAGTGAAAGTCTACATGCCCCTTGCACAGTCTTCACATTTTGCTGCCTTAAAATTACTTTAAAAAATTGATTACAATTTTTTCCTAGCGATATACACAACCTACTCCACATTTCCAAAGTGAAAGACAAATGTATATACATTTTTCCAAATGAATGCAAAATAAAACATGAAGATGTCTTGATTGTGTATGTCTTCACACCCCAGAGTTAACACTTGGTGGAAGCATCTTATGCACCCATTACAGCTGTGAATCCTTTTGAAAAGATTCTACCAACTTTTCACAACTCTTAGGGCAACATAGATTGTTTTTGTCAAAACAAGCAGATTTAAGTCAGGACTGAGACCGGACCATTTAGAAACACTGGAAAGCCGTCTTTGGCATAAGAAATTGTCTAATTGTCTGGCTGAAAAATAAAACTCTATCCCAGGGTTAGTTATTCAGACGACTGAGACAGGGTTTCCTCTTACTTTTTATCTGGACTTTGCTCCTTTCATATTTATTTCGATCCTGACAAACTCCCCAGTCCCTGCCGGTGGCAAGCATACCCATAACATGATGCTGCCACCACAATACATGGAAATATAAAAGGATCAAGAACACTGCATTTACTCCACATTACTGGCCTTTGTTAAAAATAGATCTACCTCAAATCATCCATTCTGTTTGCAACAAGGCTGTTAAGTAATACTGCAAGACAACACAGCAAATAAATTAACATTTTGGCCTAAATTAAAAACTACAGGCTTGGGTCAAATCCAAAACAACACGGAAGTGAAACCCTCTGTATTGTCAAGTATTGTGGTGGCAGACTCGTGTTATGGGTGTGATTTTCACTGGAAGGGACTGGGGAGTTTGTCAGAATCAAAATAAGTATGAATGGAGAAAAGCCAAAGTAAAGAGTTAGAGGAAAACCTGCCTCAGTCTTATGAAAATCTAACCCTGGGATAGTTTTATTTTTCAGCCAGACAATTACACAATTTTTTATGCCAAAGACACACCAGAACGGCTTTCCAATAAGTGTTGTGTTCATGAGTGGTCCAGTCACAGTCCTGACTTAAATTTGCTTAAATCAGAGAAAAGGTTTGAATATTGCTGTACATCAATGACTCCCAACCAAATTTACAGAGCTTGAGCAATTTTGACAAAAACAATGGATAAATATTGCCCTAACAGTTGTGCAAAGTTAGTAGAATTTTATTTAAAATGATTCATAGCTGTATTGGCTGTCAAAGGTGCTTCCACCAAGTATTAACTCTGGGGTGTGAAGACATATTGGTCGTTCCATGAAAAGGGTCCCTTTGATATTTTAAGTAGACATTTTGCACAAATATTGCATTTTAAAAGCCTGTTATATTAAATGAAGTGCCCTTTTCATATAGACCACATGGAAAATTCAATAAATCAGATTTTTTATATGAATAAAGACTCACTAAAGTGCCAAAATGTAATTGACAAGTCACTTAACCCCAACATTTCTCCAAGGTTTCACCATCATTGTAAAGCCCTAGTTATGTTGTTGCTTTTACAAAGTCATTTCTGAAGATTATTATTTATTTCATGTGATTTAGTGATTCATTTTAAGGGAAAAAAAACAACACCTATAGTGAAACTAGTCCTTTAAAAAAATTTTTTTTTCAAAACAAACATTGAACATCTAATAGTCAAATCATAGTGTAAAAGCAGGTGAGCTGGTTCTACTCTTTTTGTGGTGGAAAACGGAGGTGGTTGAGCATAACATGTCAACCCTGGTACCCATAGATAGACAGGCTAGAAATGTTGTAACAATTTCATTTTTTTGTGAAGCTTGCATTCAATTGCCCCTCCCTGTTGCACACAACAAGCTTCCATTCCGTCTGTCACGAGGGGATTTACGGCTGATTTTAAGATGAAGTCATCAACCCTGTTACTGCCAACCCTGTTACTTTATTTGGCTGTTATTAATGGGAACTTACTATAGTATTTTTAATTGAACCTCTTGAGATGGGGAAAATTGTTTTTTATTAAGTTGAGCATGTGCTCTTTATGACAGAATGTAAAAATTTGGTGACATTTCTTAATTTTTATTTATTTAGAAAATGTAAAATAATTTGTCTTTCACTTTGAAAACGTGGAGTAGGTTGTGTAGATCGGTAGGGGGGAAAATTACATTACATTTTAAGGCAGCAAAATGTAAAGACTGTGCAAGGGGTGTGTAGACTTTCACTAGCGACTGTATATGATGGGTTGTGCATTTGATTAGTTGGTACAAATGTGTTAATGAATATGTTTCACATGTTTTGTCAGTGTGTAGTGTCATAACTTTGCTTACTGCCTCCTCCATCCATGGTTTATTGACTTACTCTGTGTAGCCAAGCATTCTCTGATAAGTAGGACTCTTTGGCCTTTGGAACTGTAGTGTTTCACAAAATGGCAACTATTCATACAGTACAGAGAGACACTAATGGATCGTGTGGATGAAGACGATTTAGGCTATGTATTTCACTTGAGAAAATTACCTGATGGCATTTTACCATGTCAAAAATATCTATTACTTTCTTTTCGGCAAACATATGGGAGATGGCAGCACACACAGGCCCCACATCCCCATGCATAGGTAATGAGATATTATATCTGTATGTGGTGGGTGATATGCAGAGTGGCTTGTTGTGTAAACTAAAGCCTCAGCTGACTGCCTGATTATTTATGTTCCTGTAGGATTGACATGCTCTTTACCTCAGCAGCCTCCGCTCCCCTTCACATCACACCAGTTGTTCGCTCTCTCTCGTTCTCTTTGCGCTCTCTCTCGCTCTCTCTGCTCTCTCTGTTTCTCTGCTCTGCTCTGCTCTCTCTCTCTGCTCTTCTCTCTCTGCTCTGCTCTCTCTGCTCTGCTCTGTCTGGGCTCGGTCTTTCTCTGCTCTCTCTCTTGCTCTCTCTCTGTTTCTCTGCTCTGCTCTGCTCTCTCGCTCTCTCTCTTGCTCTCTCTCTCTGTTTCTCTGCTCTCTCTCTTGCTCTCTCTCTGTTTCTCTGCTCTGCTCTGCTCTCTTGCTCGCTCTCTCTGCTCTGCTCTCTCTGGGCTCTGTCTTTCTCTGCTCTCTCTCTTGCTCTCTATCTCGGTCTCTCTTCTGTTTATCTTGCAGACATCTGTCTGTCCTATAGGGCAGGTCATATGCAGGCCATAGGAATTACAGTATCACAGTCTGTAATAGTGACAATTGCAAATGTATACTATATACTGTATGTGGACACCCCTTCAAATTAGTGGATTCGGCTATTTCAGCCACACCCAGTTGCTTACTGGTGTATAAAACGGTTAGTCGGTAGCTTCATGAAATGGGTTTCCATGAACGAGCAGCCGCACACAAGCCTAAAATCCCCATGCGCAATGCCAGGCGTCGGCTGGAGTGGTATAAAGCTCACCACCATTGGACTCTGGAGCAGTGGAAACGCGTTCTCTGGAGTGATGAATCACGCTTCTCCATCTGGCAGTCCGACGGACTAATCTAGGTTTGGTGGATGCCAGGAGAACGCTACCTGCCCCAATGCATAGTGCCAACTGTAAAGTTTGGTAGAGGAGGAATAATGGTCTGGGGCTGTTTTTCATGGTTTGGGCTAGGTCCCTTAGTTCCAGTGAAGGGAAATCTTAACGCTACAGCATACAATGACATTCTAGATGATTCTGTGCTTCCAACTTTGTGGCAACAGTTTGGGGAAGGCCCTTTCCTGTTTCAGCATGACAATGCCCCCGTGCATAAAGCGAGGTCCATACAGAAATGGTTTGTCGAGATTGTTGTGGAAGAACTTGACTGGCCTGCACAGAGCCCTGACCTCAACCCCACTGAACATCTTTGGGATGAATTGGTACGCTGACTGCGACCCAGGCCTAATCACCCAACATCAGTGCCCAACCTCACTAATGCTCTTGTGGCTGAATGGATGCAAGTCCCTGCAGCAATGTTCCAACATCTAGTGGAAAGCCTTCCCAGAAGAATGGAGTCTGTTATAGCTGCAAAGGGGGGACCAACTCCATATTAATACCCATGATTTTGGAATGAGATGTTCCACAAGCTGGTGCCCACATACTTTTTGGTCATGTAGTGCATCTTCTATTACCCTGTAGATTTCAAAATAGACACATGGTGGCGCTCTAACCCAATTATTTGACACTAGCCCCTCTTAGCCCTTGATGCAGTGCAAGACAAGATGTTTTCTAATGTGAGGAGTTACTGCAGTGTTTGTGATCCCAGGTGGTATCCCTATGTTAGAGGATAGGTAGCAGCAAGTAGCCCAGGCTGCATGACAACATTTAGAACACTGTCCTCTCCACGGCTTGGAGACCCAACTAGGTTGGTAGAGCATGGAACTTGCAACGCCAGGCTTGTGGGTTCAATTCCCTCTGGGGCCACCCATATAAAAAATGTATGCATGCACTACTGTAAATCACTTTGGATAAAAGTGTCTGCTTAATGGCATATTTTATTAAACAAACAGGTTATGCTAATTAATCCAAAGTGGTTTGAGTAATAACTGACTCCACATTATACATGTCAATGCTATGGTAAGATTTGCACATCAATGTCAGGGTTGATGCATGTGCTATTATGATTTTGGGATGTTTTGATTGGAGACAAACATGTGGGAAATAAAGACAGTTGTTAAATATCTCAATCAATGTCCTTCATCTTAGTTTGCAGTGGTACCTGAAGGATGTGTAGCTGAAGTTGGCATGTGTATCACTACCAGCATGGTTCGGAGTTTGGGAGTGGTCGCTCTCCCTCCGCAACGTCTTCTATGTTCTACTGTCCATCACCTCCAGAGGGCGCTCAATGCATTCTGCATAGATACAGGCACGTCTGTACCAAGAACCATCATCTCCCCAAACCTCAGCAAGCTCCACTGTGCCCCACCCTTAATCCTGTGAGGGTTCTTCTCAAAATACCAACACACATACTGATCTGTGTTACTTAAATGTGCAGAGTACTCTATGTGCTTTTCATCTAAAATGTCAAACACTGTCTCTCAGAAATGCTGATAGGCCTACATTCTGCCGCCTATAGAGTGTGATTTGAAGGATGCTGTGTAGCGTCCATGACTCCGACACAGTCAAAAGGTAATTGATGTGATGATGGTTTGGGGCTGTTTGCAGTGACTGGGGCTGGAGTTGGAGAGCTGCCTGGAGAGGAGGAGGTGTGACCTATGACATGCAGCCTGTGCCCCACTTCACCCCCACCCCTCACTAACTACCACCCCACAGGCAGGAGTTGGAGGATTTGGGGCTGTGGGGAAGTGTTGCTCTCTGCCCCATTACACCCCATTTGTAGCTGTCTGCATGGAGGTCACCAGGTCAGCCCTTATCCACAGCACTGCAGTGATCCAGAGGTTGCTTTGTCGACTTTTGAATTAATAGTATAGCCATTGCGTCTTGAAGAATAGACCTATAACTGTTTACCAAAAAAGTGCCGGGGTGACCTTTGTAGTTGTTTGAATCCCAGATTGCTCATTTACATGTTTATTACATAAACATTTGATAATTAGGTATATTACATGATGTCAAGTGTAAAGTAGTCTACAGTTTTTAGATAATCCTTTGGGACAGTAGCCTAACACACACACACACACACACACAGTGTGTGCTTGATGAGGAAATATGTATTGATGAAAAAGTGTTTGTTTCAAAAGCCCTGTGTATGTATGTGTGTGTGTGTGTGTGTGTAGCCTAGCCTACTGTAGTTGTTTCCATGGTTTCTGGCTTTGATCAGGTGCAGTTCATAGAGGAGGGCTTAGCTGAAGCTCCTGGTTTCATCTCCCTCTCTCTCTGTGATTTCTGCTGCTTTGGTTTGCTCTTTGGATTTCAAAGGTTTATTTTTATCTCAAAATATGCTGTTTTTTTTTGATGAATTGTAGTGCCTCAATCTGTGTTGAATTGTAAAAGTAGTAGGCTACTTTGTGATGCAAAGCAGGAGAAAAACATGACTGCAGTTATCCTCCTCAATCAGCAAGGTGCTAGAGATGCAGTGGAATTGTTATGGTGAGATGTAGCCTAATATTGCATGATGATGATGCTGACTGAGTGGCATTAGCTGTCAGTCATGATATCTACTGTGGTTGTTATGGTTTGATCTCTGTGTATTTGACTTGTTTGAAGGTTTGTTTTTATTTTGCCAGTTAAATCTGGTTGGGGCACTTTTTATGGTGTTTACTGCAATATAGCACACGGAGGGGTGTGGCTACGGGTGTAATCAAGTTCAAACCATAAACAAACAAACTGCATGCCCCCTGCCCAGGGCCCCCCTCCCTCCCTCCCCTCACCTCACCATGTGCCCCAGTAAGCTCCCAGAGTCAGCTGGGTGGGGTTGACTCCCTGGGGAGGGTATGGGGGCTGGGGCAATGCGTGCCAGCCCCATTTGGGAAGTTCTTCCCCCTTTTCTGCCTGTCCGATCGGGCTAGCGTCAGCGAGCTCCGGCGGGTCCGGGCCTGGCTGACTGGGCTAATGCGATGTGGCGTGTCACCCGGAGAATCTAGGTCAAGTTTTAAGCTGCCTCTCTCTGCTCTGCTCCCACTACTGCAGCACTCTGACTGATGCTCCGCCATTCCTCCCGAAAATACACACCCACACGCACATATTACACATATTATAGACACAGTCCTACATCCGTATCTAAATACACATTCAAATCATTTCTATCAAATATGTACGTATACATTTTTACACACGTACACAAACACACAACTCTCTCCCCATCCCCCCTCGAAGCCCCAGGCGAGCGCTCAGCCTCTCCACGGCATTGCCCACGTGATGCGGCGGGCTGTCTGAGTCTGTGGCGGGAGGGGATGGAAGAAGGGAGGGCGTTGTTTTTCCCGCTGGCTGGGCATCACTGCCGTAGTAAGACTGGGTTGGCACGTGGACCCTCATGCTGCTGCAGAGAGAGAGCAGCGTAGTAGTAGTGGAATATCAGCACTATCCTCCATTACCCTGCAGCCCTGAGCTGTTTTTATAGGACGCCACTGCAGACCCGGAGCCTCCAGCCCAGGACTGTTTTGATGGGTTTCCACGGAGGGGGTATGGTGGTGTGTGTGTGTGTGTGACTCTGGGAGTGCCATCCAGGGGTCACCACGTTCAATGGGCGTGGCACTAAATATTGGGATCTTCTTCAGTACTGATGCTGCTGAGGTCTCATCACTCATGTTGGTTTTGTTATTCCTCCACAATGTCATTATCATAGGCTGTGCCAGTCCACTCACATTTTTACATTTAAATAATCAAAACAATTTAGAATTGACAGCAATTTGGAAAAATACAAGTCGCAATTTGTTTAGTGAAATTGTGCAGTTAGTTCAGTGAGCGGGATAGTGCTGGGTGCTGGAAAAAAATTCCTTCACTGCTTGTTCACCAGATCCCCTCGCTCCCCTCCTAATCCTCTGTTTTTGGCGCATTACCTCATCTGTATTAATATATTCATGTGCGTTCAGGTCTTACTACTGTACCGTCTCCTCTCCCGGAGCTCGTGTCTGATTGGCTACCCACTTGTTTTCAATGGTACCAGCTTTTTGGGATTCCATGGATACAGCGCATGGTTGGGCAAAGCGGCTCAGCCAATGGGAGAGTGTCGTTGAGCTCGCGGTTGTGAAGCAGTGCCCCCTGGCCCTAGACGAACCCCCCTCCCCTTCCTCTCTGAGGGCACGCGATCGCCCAGTGGGGGGGTCCAAAACAAAAACAACTCCATCCTGTCCTCTGTCCACGGGGTCGGGGCTCCCACTAACATAGCAGAACCTCCAATACCAAGGGAGGGGCTCAAAACCACTCCACTCCTGTCTCTTATCTTGCATTCCTCTACTCTAAACACTTCCAATGCTCTAATCCACTTCACACACCCATTATTTAAAGCAATTGATCATTACCACCAACCATTTACCATAACCATTTACCATTTATCACTGGAACATACACTTATAATTTCTAATGGACCAGTAGATGTATGATATATATATATATAGGCTTTTTGGTTACCATTAATAGGTTTAGCTTTTCATTTGGTTTCAATGTGAACCTGGGGTCTGTAATTCAACGTTCACCAAAATAAATTCTGCTGGCGCGGGAAAAAAACTGGAAAACTGTCCTCATTTCAACTCTCATTAGGTTTTACGTAAGCTGGAGGATCCTCTCTTGGACTTTGAAATGCGAAGCCGAAGCCACCGCAAATCCCCAGTCCTTAAAATGACCTCATTGCAGACTGAGGGATGGCGCTGTGGGCCTTTGGTGCTGGCAGCGTTGGCAGTGCCCGTGTTTTGCTCTCTGAGCCTGATGGTGGCACCACGACCACGCCTCCTACTGCTCAGCTCAGTCACTCTGCCTCTCTGAAAGGGGGCAGTAGAGAACTAGGGGAAATGCATAGGTAGCCAGGGCTCACTCACACTGTGCATGTAGGCTAGTAGGCCTATTCATTCAACAGCAGGGTGAGGTGACTGCACCCCTCCCCCTCAATCTGAGGAAAACCAGCGGGGTGATTCCTCCCTTCTCTTCCTCTCATCGCTCTGTTCGCTATGTGGCTACCACAGGTATCAGCTAGTAGGAAGACAGCCAGTGAGTTTCCAATGAGGTGCCAGGGTGTAGCGCCACCATTCAGGTCTCGTTAGTGGAGAGTGTTAGGACGGGGCCGGGCATGGCAGGAGGCAGGTGGGCAGTGGGTCACATGGAAACAGGGTAAGTGTGCAGGGAGAGGGAGAGATTACTAGTGTAGACACAGGTAGAGGCAATGTGTCCTGGATGCCACCTTCAAATGATTAAACCAACATTTGCAGAAAATGGCTTTAAAAGGATAATTGTATTTATTCATCATTACTAATTCAACCACAAGAAGGGAACATTTGTTGGTTGTTACTAGCCTATAGCTTTATCTTGTCTCTAGACATCACTTTGTCACTTACCTTGCTTTCTGCACTCACTCATTCACAATCCCTTGTTGGCAAAGACTTTCGACTTGCCACTGAGTCCCACTCGGTCACCGAGTTCGTTTTAACCTGCCACCAGTAATCAGACTATTCACCCTGTCACCAAGGTTAAGTGTCTCAGCCATCTTCAGCCTGTCACAAAGGTGTCACCTGGCTGGCACCGGTCTACATCACTCTGTCACTGTCACTACTAGCCAGCAGCAGCACTTGAATGTCCAAGACAAATTAACCTTCCCTCTACCCCTGATCCAATGCCATTTCCTAGGAGTCTTGACCTTTGTCTCTCAGCACAGTACAAACCGACCAGGTCTCTGTGCACTCCAGCAAGGTGTTGTCACTCCTGATTACATAACACACAGCTCCAGACGGCGAGACATTATGACCTACATCCCGCTGGCTGCCTGGCGTTTGGCTGTCTGTCTCAGCCTACGGCGGAAGAGGAGGTACAGGTGTAAAACTGCCTGTAGCATAGCCAAGTCATATAGACTATAGGAGCATTATTGTACAGTATTATGACTCTAGTCTGACCACTCATAGGCCCGTATTCACAAAGCTTCTCAGAGTAAGAGTGCTGATCTAGGATCAGTTTTGCCTTTTGAATAATATAGTGAATAAGCTACTACTTAGCTACCAACCTGATCCCAGATCAGCACTCCTACTCTAAGAAGCTTTGTGAATACGGGCAACAGACTACAGTCATAGTAGGAGCACTCATAGACTACAGTCAAAATACTGTAGCAGCAATCAGACTTCTACAGCCCCTGAGACTGGGCAGTGTGAATGCTCCAGTTTGTCTGATTCTCCAGAACTGTACATGTTTGTGTGCTCCTTATTTTCCCTATTTAATCTATTTCCTCAACATGGCTTTTTATGGAATGACTCAGTGCTGTGACAGACAGTCTAAATTGTACCTCAGGACTGGAAAGTGTTGTTGTACAGTAGCGCATACAGAATGTGTAGTCCTGTACCATACTCCTACTCACTGTCCTCAATATGAGTAATTGGCTAGGAATGAACTTTGACGACATGCTTTGGAATAAGCTCTAACTAATGTGTTCAGCCCTGTCAGTATTAAGAACATCCATAGGGATGTGTCTCTGTCTGTGTGCACACAACACGGGAGACTCTTACCCAACAGTGCCGACAGCAGGGGTTCCTTCTCCCACTGTTCCAACTAGATAAGAACTGTACAGCAGTGGTTTACCTCGGCTCGGTTTGGGGTTGGTTTTACTGTGTTTTCCAGGTACTGGGTGAATCTGTGGCCTTCATATTGACAGCAGAGAGCGAGAGAGAGAGGCTGGGGAAGGATAGGGGGCTTAGTTCTCACACTACTCCATCTGAGGTGAGATTATCTCCCCTCCCCACACGCCCCTCTGCCCTCCTTTTCCAGGAATCGACTGCCTCGCTTCTGGGAAATCTGACTGGTTGCAAACAACTAGAGATTACAATTCAGTGTTTTTGAAGCAATGTTTTTTTGTTGTTGAGTGATTGGAATATGTTCGCGTGAGTGCCTGTCTGTTTCCGTTTTCTTGCCAACCCTGTGTGGAATTGTTATACCAAATTGCCATGTTTTTGGCATGACAATGGGAACATGGAGCTGGCAAGAGAGCAGAAACAGACTGGCACTCAGGCTAGGAAAATGTACACCATGGGGGTTCATGTGAGATTCACAAACAGTGCAAAGTCCTAAATGTCTCACTTTTGTACTGGGAATCAGATCATGGTAAGACATCATGGTCATTTCCTATTGTAGAGACAGTCGTTGGTCGGGATTTAAACTCTGAACCCTGTTAGGTTCACATCTGAATTTATCCATGTGCATGTACAGTGTGTGTGGCCCTCTCTCCCTAAGGAACATAGAAGCTAATTTAACAGACAAGTTTGCATATAACGGCTGTTAGCAATCGCTAGATGTAAATGCTTATCAGGAGGGAATTGAGAAAAGCGGAGAAGTCACACTCGGTTGGACTTCTTCTCCGAGGCAGAGTGATTCCCCTGTATCGGATACTATTTTAGGAGGGGGGTGGGCTTTTTGGGGACATCTGGTGGGCCAGGGCTCGGCACAGGAAAACCACACAGGGTCTCAGAGGGCCCATCTGGAGGGTCTGGGCTACAGGGTTCGGGGCACTGGAGCACAGAGGAGGAACATGAAGGGCACCAGGGTTGTGTGCCCCCTCAATACCACAAGACTTAGCTACCAACACAATGAAGTTGAATCTTATTGTTGTGTTTTCTCTATTTGTCTCCGTAGGCATCGTAACATGGGGAACCTGCTAAAAGTTCTGACTTGCACAGATCTGGAACAAGAGCCAAATTTTTTCCTCGATTTTGAAAGTGAGTTTCATTACCATCTCGCTCTTCACACTTGAGCTTCCAATCTTACCTATTTTAGCTGTGGCTCTTCTTACCTCTCCTCACCTCCTCGTCTGTCTCTGTTCTGCCCAGAGGCTACAGAACCTAATCTATTTCCCATTTGCATCATCAGCTCTTCTGTTAGCTATGCTGTTGCCATTGGGGGTGTCTGGATTGGAAAAACAATCAGAATGGAGATGTAGGCCTGCAGACTAGAGCCTCTTCACCTCTATTTGTAGACTCCCTCCCAGACATAGAAAAACCCACTTGACTGTCTTCCTGTGTCCACTAGATGCCCAGCCCACGGACGCAGAACGAGAGGTGTGGGAGCAGGTGGACCTGGTGCTGAAGGACGCACGGGGAATCCTGGACGAACTGCAAGCATACAAGGGAGCTGGTCAGGAGATTAGAGAGGTACAGGATTTTGGGAGAAGGGCCCGTTTTCTCAAAGTATCTCAGATTAGCAGAGTGCTGATCTAGGATCAGGTCCCCCCTGTCCAAGTAATCTTATTCATTATGTTCTAAAACAGAACCTAGATGAGCCCTCCTACTCTTTATGAATACGGGCCCACGTCAGGAGATCAGAGATACAAGACCCAAAAGGACTCTTAAACATTCATTAGAAACTGGGTGGTTCGAGCCCTGAATGCTGATTGGCTGAAAGCCCTGGTATATCATATACCACGGGTATGACAAAAAAAATGTTTATACAACTAATTACGTTGGTAGCCAGTTTATAATAGCAATAAGGCACCTCGGGGGTTTGTGGTATATGGCCAATATACCATGGCTAAGGGCTGTTTCCAGGTAAGAACAGCCCTTAGCCATGGTATATTGGCCATATACCACAACACCTAGGGCCTTATTGCTTAATTATAGACCAGTGGCTTGATCAGGCTCCAGAAGTTGATTAAACTACTCTATCTTCAGACTTGATAAAACATCTCGTTTTTCCTGTCTGCCAGGCGATCCAGAACCCCAGCGACGAGGCGTTACAGGAAGCAGCATGGGAAGCCGTGGTCCACCTGGTGGGGAAACTCAAGAAGTTCTACCAGTTCTCCCAGAGATTAGGTATGTGCCTGGGGCCTAATTTTAGGATCAGTTTAACCTTTTTATGGTCCCAATTAATAAAGATGACATTGACCGGCGAGACCTGATCCTAGACCAGCACTCCTACTCTGAGACGAGTGATACGGCCCCTGTCCCGTGCTTCAGGTTAAATATGTAGCCCTACAATACAACACCCACACCTGACTGAGACTAGTGATGTGCGTCCTTCAGAGCTTTGGTACACAATGTCCTAATGCAAAAGGTTAGATACACGCCTGTACCAGAGGTTGACTAGCTCCAGCTCCTCTAGAGGTTATATGTAAGAGACACACACCTCTCATGACCTTAGCCGTCTGCATGCTCGATCACATCGGCGATATCGACTGCTGAGCTGCAGGAAATTAACACGCATGCCCACGCACACACTCCTAGCCCACACAAACAAACATGCAGGGCAAACCCCCATAGCCTTGCATTCATTAACATGATGCTTGCTTGCGTTGCACTCTGACTAGACCTGATACTCCCCTCCTCCCAGAGCTGAGGACTCCTCATTATCATGGAGAGAGAGAGGAGAGAGGGGGATGCTAGCCTAGTGCTGCCGTGCCTGTGACCCCCAGGGAGAGAGGAGCAGCCCGCCCCCTCCTTTGCCGACCTTAACCCCTTAATCTAGTAGTGGCAGGCTGAGACTGCAGTCTCTGGGGGGGCGTCATGGTGCTGGTTGGAGGAGGTGTGTGTGTGGGTCACGTTAGCTTTCAAAGTCTGCATTATCAAAACGCAGACCCTCCAAAAATACTGCGTTAATAGATTTCACCTGCATTCTAATTAAACTAACAGACATTACATACATGGCTCCACTCAGTGTTCTAGAATGCAGGAAAATATGGGTCAGTTCAAGAGGGTGCTATCTAAAAACAACAGTTTTCTTTACCCTATGTCATTATAATCAAATACAATAATCATTCATCTGAATGATATTATAGTCTTAATATGCTTGTACTCGACAGTGTTGATGAAATACGAACGCTATACTGTAGGTGCATTGGAAAAATGACACGCATAATTAATTATGAATACGATTTATTTGATTTAGTTATTTTATGTTCTCCATTGTAACCACAATGTAACAAATAATCTAACTGGTTCGAACTTTAGCAAACAAACTAGTGTGAAATTGGCCACGTAAACATTCTCTACATAGAATGTGAGCACTTAGCCTATCTTACCACCTCATCTCCCTCTGTTGCTCTCTATGGTAAAAATGGTGCGTGCCCTAGAAAAGTGTAAAATTTCGGGATACCGGTGCCCCCATTTGAAATTGTCATTAGTTTCTCTAGGTGATCACTGCCTATGCGGGAGTGTTTCTTGGTCAGAATTCCATTTGAGAGCTGAGCGTGCGCTGGGAACACATCGGCAAATCTTGAATGAGAGTTCCCGCCACACACACCCTCCCTGCAGGCAGGCAGAGAGAGAGAGAGTGTGGTTTGGAGGATGGATGAGACGTTTTGGAGAATTGCAGCGAGTCTATTTAAATATAACAAGTTGGAACTTGAAATTGAATGTAATGGTGAAATATACCTGCATTTTCAGAATGCAATACTTTTTTCCTGTGTGAAAAACGCTGAATTCTGGTGTGTGTGTGTGTGTGTGTTATGTAATGAAGTAGGTCATCTCCCCGCCCCACGGGTCCGTCCACTCCACTGCTCTGACTCTGGGGGCCACCTTCGCCTTAGCTGCCTCATGCGAGACGCTCTCCTCCTCCCCCTCCAGACATGATAGTGCTTCGATTCAGATACTAGGCCTAAAAGCAGCCCCATCTCAACTTCTGTTTTGACTGGGGGGGATAAAATAGTGCATCACTAAGGCCATTTTAAATCAGCCCCCTTCTCCTCGCTGCTGCAGCAGCAGCAATACGCTGGCCCAAGCAGATGGCGGTCATCACAAAATAGCCAACGTGCTCAATTTACTGGACTGCTCTGACTGCACTGCCAGCTCGCATTCCGCCTCTGAAAAACCTCCCTCTGCGGATCTCTGTCTCTATCTTAAGTGAGCATCATGGCCAAAGGTCTCCATTTGTTTTTGTCTGGGTTATGGCGGTGTGCGTATCTGTATATGTACTGAAAGTGGTAAGATAAGAGTTAAGAGTTCATGCTCAGAGTATTGATTATGTGCGTCCATGCGGAAGTTGGCGTTATTGTGCAACCAGATTAGTGTGTATGGTTTTGTTTGGTTCTTTAGGGTTATGTCATTATTGTAAATCTAGTCGTCTTAGTGAGTCTAGACTGAGTCCTTCAGTCTCCGACTGCAACCTCATTTTCCCTCATGGATGATTTTGTCATTGTTTATTTATGGTGAGCATCTTAGTGCTTCCGTTGGCTATCTTGAGACATGGAAATGCAGGAAAATCATTTGTTTATCGATTGCATTATCTCACTCACTGCCTTTACAGAAAGGCAATGTTGGGAAATGCACAGTTTGCCTGGATACTAGTGGAGAATTTTTGGGGAGTGATGTATATATCAAATACAATTGTATTTGTCACATGCTTCCTAAACCACAGGTGTAGCTCAACAGTGAAATGCTTAGTTACGGGCCCTTCCCAACAATACAGAGAGAAAGAAAATAGAGAAATAATAGAAAAGTAATAATAGATACACAATGAGTAACGATACCTTGGCTATATACATGGGCTACCAGTACCTAGTCGATGTGCAGGGGTACGAGGTAATTGAGGTAGATATGTACATATAATTAGGAATAAAGTGACTAGGCAACAGGATGAATAATAAACAGTAGCAGCAGCGTATGTGATGAGTCAAAAAGGTTAGTGCCAACAGGGTCAACGCAGATAGTCAATGCAGCTTGTTTTATTATACAGCTTGTATGTTACTACAGAACTGCGTGGTTTACCCCAATAAAGCCATGTGAAGTCTTTGTATTTACCTACTGTCCAAACAATGGCGGTAAGCCTGGATGAATGGAGCACCCCCCTCCTCTCTCGTTACAATGAGATAATTAGGCTCATGTTTCATCTCTATCGGATTAAGAGATCTTCCCATCCCCCACCCCTAGAGACAGCTCTTCCCTAGACCCCTCTCCCCTCCCTCTCCCCACATTGGCATAGGGCCCTGGGCAGCGGGCACAATCACCGCTCAATCGCATGTCCCTGTTTTTACCCATCAGGGTAATTGTATTTGGCACACATTTGATATCATAATGTACATGCCGATTGTTTTGTTTATTAGGCAGATATTGAACTTCTTATTCAACCCACAATTGTACGTTTTCTAGTTGGCATACATTGGATATCATGATGTTCTTCATAATTATTACGTTTATTAGGCAGATATTTAAACTAATCATACACGACACACAACTGTCTCTAACTCTCCTCGTCTGTGCCCTACAGAGGCGGCACTGCACAGCCTGCTGGGAGCCCTGACCAGTGAGACGTACGACGACCCCACTCAGCACCTGGAGCGTGAGCAGGCGCTGGCCAAGCAGTTCGCCGAGATCCTGCACTTCACACTGCGCTTCGACGAGCTCAAAGTACGTCCCATTACATCCCTGGCCTCCATTTACTCAATTTAGCCCAGAGTCCCCAGCATTTAGCCCAGAGTCCCCGGCATTTAGCCCAGAGTCCCCGGCATTTAGCCCAGAGTCCCCGGCATTTAGCCCAGAGTCCCCGGCATTTAGCCCAGAGTCCCCGGCATTTAGCCCAGAGTCCCCGGCATTTAGCCCAGAGTCCCCGGCATTTAGCCCAGAGTCCCCAGCATTTAGCCCAGAGTCCCCAGCATTTTCATTTCATTCATCTCTTGTTGTTGGCCTAAGCTAAAGCTGTAGTTGGCCTAAGCTAAAGCTGCAGTTGGCCTAAGCTAAAGCTGTAGTTGGCCTAAGCTAAAGCTGTAGTTGGCCTAAGCTAAAGCTGCAGTTGGCCTAAGCTAAAGCTGCAGTTGGCCTAAGCTAAAGCTGTAGTTGGCCTAAACTAAAGCTGCAGTTGGCCTAAGCTAAAGCTGTAGTTGGCCTAAACTAAAGCTGCAGTTGGCCTAAGCTAAAGCTGTAGTTGGCCTAAACTAAAGCTGCAGTTGGCCTAAGCTATAGCTGTTGTTGGCTGTACATGGTTCACCTATTCCTTTTGATAACAAGCTAGCTAGTGCCGTCATTAGCATAACGAGGTGTTAATACCCTGTTCATTAGGTTTTTGTGCTGTACATGATTAAGCCTCAGCCACTGAACATATAAGTATTTAATTGATACGTTAGGATCGTTTCCTGGGAGTGCTGTAATACTATAGTCTTCTACACTGCTGGAATGAATGAATGAATGAACAATGAGGTTGTGAATAGGGATGACTAATAGGATAGTGTAGTAAGCTGGTGCTCTTTGTCTGCATCCCAAATGGCGCCCTATGTAGTGCACTACTTTTGACTAAGGTCCATAGGGCTCTGGTTAAAAGTAGTGCACTACTGTATGTAGGGAATAGGGTTCCATTTGGGAAGCACCCCTTAGTTGGGCGCACGTCTTCAACACATAGAAACATGGTTTATAGTTGATCACAGGGAAGAAACCCACAGATTGATTGTTTGGCTCAGTCGCAGACAATACAACAATACAATACAACTCACAAGGCCTCGTTAGGCCCCCTGTTTCCACACACACTGCTCCTCAAACCAGCACCCTGACACCCCCAGGCACTCCGCCGCGACGCCCCCCTGCCCAGCTTCCCCATACCCTGCATGGGCTCTAAAAGCATGAAGGTAGGGGGGTGCAAGGTGGCATGCCAGGCACCATTCATCAATCTTTCACTCCCCGTACCCCGACCACAGGCATTGACCTAGTTAGAACACTCACCCACCCACCCGCCTGCCTATTTTTTTAAAGCCACTCACTGGTGAAATGGGGCTGTCTGGCCCTGGCACTAGCCACTAGCACTGACCGTCTAGCTGTAGCTAAGTGGACACAGACTGGGTACCAGTCCATTATGGTGGAATTACCCTGCTGCTCATGCCGGCCAGGCGTTAAGATACTAAGGGGCTAATAATGTGCTGCAAGGGGTAATTAGGGAGGCGTCTTTCTGCGTTGGAGGAGCAGGAGGTTGATGTGCCGGATGGGGTCCACTGATTGACCAGTGGCTTATTGAAGGTCAGCTCTGCTCAAGGCAAGGTCTAATGATCCTCTTTGCAGAAGGAAGGCAGCAGGGCAGAAGGCTGCAAACCTTCTGGCTTGAGGGCCACATCAGGATTTCGAAATTCAACGGAGGGATGAACAGATTTTTTGGGGACCAATTTGTTTGTCAAAATCAATTTGCGGGCCAGAAAAAGGGCAGTTATTTGAAAATATATAGGTCCAGTATTTCAACATACTTTACTTTCTCAAATAGAAAATTTAATCAACTCCGATCAAGTTTTATTTGTCATGCTTCGTAACCAACAGGTGTAAAATAACAGTGAAATGCTTACTTACGGGTCCTTTTCCAGCAATGCCGTTAAAGATAAAGATGACAAATAAAATAGAAATAGTGACACGAGGAATAAATACACAGTGAATAACAGTAAAGAGCAATAAGAACATGGCCATATACTCTATCTAGTTGTATCTATACTCTATCTAGTTGTATCTATACTCTATCTAGTTGTATCTATACTCTATCTAGTTGTATCTATACTCTATCTAGTTTTAGACATTGAAGAGTGGGATGGAGTGTTTAACTCATAATAATAACACCCCCACCCCCCCACCCATTTGTATTTTATTTGTAAATGTTTTTTTACTCAAACCACCCACGGGCCGAATTGAATGGGCTCGCGGGTCAGATCTTGGCCGTAGTTTGCCAACCCCTGCTCTAACCTGTACGGTCTGTATACAGTGTATAATGAGAGCGTCTCCAGCCTCTCGTCTTCAGTGTTGTTGATGCTTCTGTCACGATGCCAAACACACTGGGCCACTGCCCACTGCTAAAGGGAGCTAACAAGGACTTCATTCATTGACAAGTGAAAATAAATGCATCCTAGTTTAAAGGACTAGTGTGGAAATATCCAGCGGTATGAAATCCGCTTCAGTAAATAAATGGAAGATTTAATCCTATCAATGTCCTTTTCATTCCATCTCCTCCCCCAGCTATGTATCTGCCTCGTTTGCTAAAACATCCTGTCATGACGATGGTGCATTTGATCCAGAGAGCTGAATGTCTGCTGCCGCAGGCCGTGTGTTCTACCTTCACACACACACACACACACACACACACACACACACACACACACACACGCCCTGTTTGTAATGTTCACGTTAATCCTTGTGTTGCAGATGACTAACCCTGCCATCCAGAATGACTTCAGCTATTACAGGAGAACTTTGAGCCGCATGCGGATCAACAATACACCGGTGAGCTGACCTCTATAATCTAAGGGGCTGATGGTCTCCAGTTTGGTGCCTACACCACAGGCCCTCTGGGATACGCTGGTGTTAAAGGAAACCCCCCAGACAGACCCTGTGCCCCAGTCCTCCATTAACATTACAGGCTATATAGGGGCATTAAGGGCTATATGAGAACTACTTCATCATTAGATCTCGCACTTAGTTGATCATCAATACATTTAAAGGCAGTACAAGTTCAATGTGTTATCTTTAACCCCCCCCCCAGTAATTTTATGGGGAAAATGAAGTGTATTGGTGCACCTCAGGGCTCAGTATTATGTTTCCTGATATTTAAATCTATTTGGAATGCAGTATTATTCAGATGAGAATATTCTTGCGATAGCATGACAGGCGTCCAAAGGACAATTCAGACTCCTTTCTCCACACAGCCATGCTTCAAAGAGACAGACGGTATACCTTTTTTTAATGGCACCAATGACATCAGAGAAAGGTCTGAATTTTTCAATAGCTCTTTAGTATATAAAATGAACAGAATTCACCCTTGTTCTTGAGACACACGTCTGTGTCTGGCCTGCAGCAGCTTTATTCCCTGTACAACATATGCCATTACGCAAATGGCCCCAGACGGTCCCGACTGTTAAGACCTGTCACTGCTAGAGCCCGTCTCCATGTCTCAAATGGCACCATATTCCCTTTATGTGCCCATAGGGCTCTGATCAAAAGTAGTGCACTATGTAGGGAATAGGATGCTGTTTGGGACGCAGCCTATCTCTACCTAGCCACTGAAAATTCCCTCCAGCTCAGCAGTACAGAGGAGCATTACTTTGCACTCAGCATTCAGGCACTGACTACTGGAATCACTGAGACATTTTATACAAAGACACGAGACGTATCTGTTCCGGCAGAAAATATTTCTTCTTTGATACTTTTTTTTATGTGACATGTCTTGACGTTCTGGGGGATTATTCATTCCTCATTAGAGAATAAAGGCAGTCTTTAAGGCAGGAAAAGCATCTCCTTGCCGTTACTGAACATTTTTCTCTACCAGCAACTACTGGCTCAATAATATCCACGGTGAACGGTGTCTTTTTTTTTTTTAGGCAGAGGGGGAGAATGAAGTCAACAATGAGATGGCCAACCGGATATCTCTCTTCTACGCCGACGCCACGCCCATGTTGAAGACATTAAGCGACAGCACGACAAAGTTTGTCTCTGAGGTGAGAGGGTTCACAGCTTCCTTACCTGGCAACCTTGATATTTGACACTTTTCTCATTAGTAATCGAAGTGACCAATACAACAATGCTGTTTACAGAATAAAAAAACATCCCCTCTCTCTTTCTGTTTGCTCAGAATAAGAACCTGCCCATCGAGAACACGACAGACTGCCTAAGCACAATGGCGAGCGTGTGCAAAGTCATGTTGGAAACGCCGTAAGTGATCCCATCCTCACTAAATCAAGATCATGTCAATGTCATGAAAACTACCGATCTGGGATCAGTTTTGCCTTTTCGATCATAAGGAATATAGTTATATGGACAGGGCGGACCTGATCTAGATCAGCAATCTGTGTCTGTGTTTCCAGGGAGTACCGAAGCCGCTTCACCAGTGAGGAGACAGTCTCATTCTGCCTGCGCGTCATGGTGGGCGTCATCATCCTGTACGACTACGTACATCCTGTCGGAGCCTTCTCCAAGTCCTCCAAAATCGATGTGAGTACAGGGAGGAGCTATGTCCTCCATGCTACCAGTCCCAGAGGATTGGACACGCATGCGCACACACACACAACACTGATTAATCTTACATGCCGTTTTCTGCTTCCCAGATGAAAGGGTGCATCAAGGTCCTCCGAGATCAACCGCCCAACAGCGTAGAAGGCCTTTTAAACGCTCTCAGGTAAGGCCCAGCATTTCTGTAGCATGAACAACGATTTTCTTTAACAGAGAAGATGTTTGAGTGAATATCGTTGTAACCTTTTTCCTCTCACACTTTAACATACAGTAGCATATACTTACTGTGAAATAAAATATTTGGCCACTTTTCCTTCATTATTATTTAGTAGGGATTAGAATCGATATGTGTTTAGTGTTTCAGTTAAATGTCAAATCCCACAGTTTTAGATTTATAGAAGATCAGAGCGGATTACATTTCTTTGAGCCCTGGCCCCCTGCTCTTTTCTCAAATCTAAGTGGCTGATGCTCGCATCTGTTCGCAGCTGACATGGCCATTTCCGTGGCAACCGCGCTCACATCTGCATATCACACCACCAGGGCCTTCGGGCATGCTCAGTCGCTCTCCTCCAGTCGCGTGAGGTCACTCCAAGGCCTCCCGCCTCCAGTCCTCTTTTCTCTCTCTGTCTCTCTGTCTGGGATTTCACATCTGTCTATGAGGGGAGAACGCCAGACTAGGAAATCAAATATCAGAGCTAATAACTGCCGACAAGGCTTTCTCACACTCTTGACACCCTTTCCGGTAGAGCAGTCGTGTTACTTTCACAGATCCTGGAACTGATCCCTCTGTTTCTGTCTGTCTGTTCATCTGTCTTGTCTGGTCTGTCGGTTCATCTGTCCCTCGCAGGTACACAACCAAGCATTTGAATGACGAATCGACCAACAAAACCATCAAGAGCATGCTGCAGCAGCAGTAGGACTGAAACTCTGGAACAACCACTCGCCTCACACCCGGTTCAGGAGACATCGACTCTCTCTCTCCCCAACGACGTCGGTGCACAGAATGTTTTTTTTTTCTTGTTGTGTTTTCTTTTAAATGGAGTAAGAGCTGCAGCTCCACCCCTTTTTATAACGCAAAATGCTACTGCCATTATGTACGTCTTTTCTGTGCCAAAAATATGTTGCTGAGATTTAAATGTTTTCCATAAAGGCCATACAACAAGATGAAGGCTATGGAAGCATTGTGGGTTCTCTTTTTTTTTATTTTATATATATATATATATAGTTTTTGTTTCCCTGTGTAAGGGATGGGAGTGCTTTGACTTGAAAATTTAAAAAAGAGATATATAGAGAAATATATATTATTTTTGATTTATTATTTAATATTACATATTCTGCATGACGAAATTACGTATTTTCCTTCTATTTAAAAAAACGAATGGTTCAAGTTTAATTTGTCTGCTTAGTTGTATGTTTCATGTTTTGTTCTCTGAATGGTACCTGTCGGAATTGAGATTATTAAAAAGTACTGTTAATGTTTTATATTTTTTTATAGGTTTTGATTTGTTGTATGTCATTTTTCATAGTTGTGTTGTATTTTTCATTTGAAAATGTCAAACTGTGATGTGTGCAAATCAATTTAAAATTGGGAGTATGTACTGTTGTTAACAGTATGTTGCCGCTGGAAAAAATAAACAGAGAACTCGTTTTCTACAAATGACTCTCTACTTGCCCCTAAATCTCTTCTAGAAGACACCATGTAGTCAAACGTAGAGTGAGAAAAGCTTTTATACAACCAATTTCTAGTTTAGATTGGCAATTAAATCCATTACAGGAGGTTTGACTCACCAAACAGACTTGCTGAAAATAAAATAATAACATTCATTTGTGAGTCAGTATGGAGTTTCTAGTTTAATGGAACTGCTAAGTCAACAGATGAGTGAGTCACGCTATATCAGCCTCCACCAGTTAAGTCTTATCTACTCGCTACACATGGGAGGCAGGGCCAGAAGGGGTCACCATTTCTTTAGTCTAAAGCAGGGTTTCCCAAACTTGGTCCTGGGCCCCCCCACCCCCCGTTTAGTTTTTTTGCCCTAGCACTACACAGCTGATTCAAATAACCAACTCATCATCAAGCTTTGACTATTTGAATCAGCTGTGTAGTGCTAGGGCAAAAACCAAAACATGCACCCGGGGGGGGGGGGGGGAGTTGGAGGCACGGGTGGGCAACTCCTAAGAGTAGGAATACTGATTTTAGGATTAGTTTAGCATTTTAGATCACAATTAATAAGATTACATGAATAGGGTGGACCTGATCCTAGATCAGCACTCCTACTTTGAAACTCTTGATAAATAAGACCTAGGAAAGGCGTGTGGGGGTGCAAGGTTTAGTCGTCTTAAGAAAGTTACTGCACAAACATTGCTAATTCAGGTTTTATTGAATCTGGCCCCAAGATAAAGTAGCAATTTAATATTTTAGCCATCATACTTTTGATTTCTTCATGGGGTTTTTTAAGGACACTGATTTTAAAACATCAGCGAAGTAGTGACTTGAGGCTTAAATGTTAAAATTGGCCTTCCCTTTAATGGCACTTAGGTCAACATTGACATATCCAATGTAGTGCACTCTTTTTGTTTTAAATGAACACTTCTCTAAATGAACACTTCTTCTTTACTAAATGAACAGGATGTCAAACAAATTCCATGTCCACCCGTTCATTCATTCATAGAATGTGTCACCCTGTTTGACTCATTATCTTTCCCATTTTATAATCTCCTCCTCCCAATGGGTCATTCTAAAAACATCTGGAAAATCGTCAGTGTACCTCCCTCTCCTTGTACATGCATTCCAGAGACATTGCTCACTTCATTCGGGATCCTCTTTCTAAATGTACTTTTTCCATCTCATCCTCTCATTGCTAAACAATGTGAAGAACGTAACAGAAGAAACACTCTGAAATTCTTCCAAACTGGCTTATTTTCTATGACATTGCCAGAGAGAGTGAGTGAGAGGGGGCTAGTCCTTGGGTGGGTACTGCGGTATTATCTGCAGTATGTTAGAGAAACATTCAGGGTCAGGAGAGAGGAGAAGAGCTTGTTGATGGGTGTGTCCCTTAACTCTGCAGCATCACTGCACTGGCAGAGACCGGGAAAAAGGAGAAGGAAGCGAGGGAGGGAGGTAGAGCAGGCTAGCGTTCGGTGGGGTCTTACATGCTTTGGAAGTTGTTGAGGGAAGTACAAAATTGAAATGAGAGAAAAAGTCTAGAATGTGTAGTGAAAATGGAATGCGTAGCATTTGCCTGGCCCTGCAGCTATATCAAACCACCACAGTTCAGATGCTAAATGTATGACACGCTCGTTGGGCGTGGAACAATCTCCCTTAGAATAGCAGTCCGTCACCCTGACAACATCCCAGCGTGTCGCGGCAACCTTCGTCTTCTCTGGCCCCTCTCCCGCTGTGACCCACAATGCAGTACCTCTCTGCTCTCCGCTCTCCTCTCTTCTCTCATCAGTTATCATGAGGCTCCCACGGAGCTAATGTAGAAAGGATGAACACTGTGCTACCTGCATGAAAGCACCCTTTCTCAGTGGGAAACTGGTCAGATCGAGATCTAACGGTCTAGTACTGTTGTTTTTTGGTTTGTTGTGCATCAGCCACGACCAATAAGCCGTGATTCTTCGAGGATTCCACAATTATTGTAATTGACAAGATGTTACATTACAAAATACTAATTTCCTGTAATTTAGATTATTGTTAGCCTGTACTGTACAATGCTATTCCCTGGTGTTTTCAGGGTACTCTGATCCCAGTTGTTTGCTTTGGAACAGAAAAGAACATTGAAGATAATGACCTTCAGGGCCTCCTGCCAAGCTGAGGGAACAGAACAGAACATAGTTACAGTGGCAGACAGACAAGTCATCATAGCCTCCCTTTGGATGAGGGCTCCCTAAAGGTATACTGAATTATAATGTCGGTCACACCCCACAGCCTTATAGATTTATTTCACATGACCCCCATCACTCATTGGGGGTTTGGGAGCCTGTCACCATGTGGCTTGCATTGTCACAGCTCTCTGAGAAAGAATTGGGATACAGTTGTTGTGGTGGGCTATATTTCAAGGTGACTGATATGGCTTCACTGACAGCCAGTGAAATGGCAGACAGAGGTCAGTCTAGGGTTTGAAACGCCACATTTCTATCTGATTTTCTGATTATGCATGACGCCTCAAGATGGATGGATGACAGTTTGACCTGGGAACTAGATGATGGAGAATGTTTTATGGTACACTCAGAGTGTATATCATGCCATGGATGGTGATGGCTTCTCCTTCTAAAGGGCTTCAATGGGTTTGATCACTTTCTATCACTTTGGTATTGAATCAGGGCAGGTTATTGTAGTAAATGTATAGTACTGTTGTTATTACTAATGGGAAACCTGTTGGAAATGCCAACCTTGAGGGTGAAGGTCTCTATAGCCATCAATTCAATTCCTCTAGTACTAGTGTGCTTAGTACAGGGTCTTTAGTACAGTGTATTCTCAGATCAGATGGGGGCCATAATGGTGACACAAGACCCTGGTAAACCACAAGCTGCAACTGTCTGCTACCCACTTTCACAATATATAGTACAGTGTGACTTTTCCCTCCCAAATGGCACACAATTCCATATTTAGTGCACTACTTTTTAGTGCACTACTTTTGGTTAAAATAATATACTATCTAGGGAATAGGGTACCATTTGAGATGCATCCTCTGACACAAATTAGCGTTTGAGAAGGAGCTGTAAGTGTGTCCTGTCAAGGTTGTCAAATCGAGTAATGAGAACTTACAAGACTGTGTTTCTGGTGTGACTAATCAATGAAGCGTTGATTTGGGCCCTCATCAGCCTCCTTAATACCCAATGACAGGGTTTATTAACAGTCACGCTTCAGGGAGGACGTCAGGGTCAACTAACGCTGTCCAGTCCTCTCCTCCCGCGCTATGTTAAACAATGCTAAGACCGTTTCACATTGGATGTGGTTTCGAGGGGCCTCCGTCAGTTATTTCAACAGGGTATGGGAGAAAACATACAACTCCACAAGTGTTTGTAAGCAATGTTCCCTCTAAACCGTGTGTGTGCGGGCGCGCAGTAGCCCTGAGACTGCAGCGCAGAGATAAGCACGAGATTGAACTTCACTCAACTTTCTAGAGCAGTGGTCGATCTCCAAGGCATTCCTAGTTGTTCGCCAAACATTTCTGTAAAAAACCCAACGATAAAGCTTTGTGTTCCTATTTGTTTTTATTCTTCTCCGGCTGTTTGCAGTAGGTGCACCCGATTCAGCTGCCCTGCCTCCGAGTAGGCAAACTGTGGCCATTTTGAACCATTTCATGTGTCTGGAGATACAAACTCTGCCTTCCCGGCGAGCCCGGAGAGCAAATCAAGTGCACTATAGGCTACCGCTGGCCAATCGGATGGCTCAGAATACTGTGTCTGCAGTATAGTAGCAGGCATAAAAGAAAGCTACAGAAAGTTGATACTGTGAGATTTCAAAACGTTTAAAACCATGACTAGAGACTGTCAACGAATACAGCAAAGAGCTGCTGTTTTTATGAGTGAGTTCATGTTTAAGTTCTTACTCAGCACTGTCAACACTTTTATAAGCCATAAAATGCACGTTCTTCCTATTTCCACTCAGCGCTACAACAAGCACAGCAGCAGTAATTCATTAGTAGGAAAGTGTATCTATAGGCTTGCGTTGTTGTTATTATTAGCGGCTTGGGTCTTTTTTAACACCGAGGAATATTTCACTTTCTCTGTTCATAGGTGTAACAACATGAACTTGTGCATGAGCCAGAAATAATGCGTTGCGACTCGACTTTGGCCATCAGCTGGAAGACGGTGTCCCTTTTCGGTCAGTGTCAGTGGAGGGAAGTGAGAGCAGAGGGACGTTGAGAGGCGGACCCTCAGTCCGCTGCTCTCTACCTCCACTGAGACTGACCATCAGATGCAGGCACCATCAGCCCCGTAAAATATAATTAAAAAGCAAATTATTTAAATGTATGCTGTGCCTCACAAGTAATACAACAACGGATCTATTACCGGTGTGATCATATAGCCTACCTTAAATTTTGAAATGTAATTTTAAAAAATGGCCAGAACAACAATGCATTGGCAGGGCAATTCAAGCAAAGCCAATATGCGGTGATAATGTATTGGGCCTATAGCTTACTGCACAAACCTTATTGCTACAGTACTGTTTTTAATTGGTTAATGTTGCATAGGCTTACATTTTTTAAGTC